ACACTGAAATGTTACAGCAGTGATGCTTCCTGGGCCCTAACTACTCAAGTGAGGGGCTTATTGTTTGTATCAAGGTTGTTTCTTAAAATAGCTGTTTTTCTCTCACTTAGAATGTTTTCCCACATATCAGCTGTCGACTATATCCACATGCCTCCTACACTCTGACAGAAGAGGCCATAGTATAACTACTGCATTGCAGTCTTGTGTTTGCTTGAAAACAAAGCAGTAAGAGAGCGTGTGTTATTCAATCCTACCCTTGTTCCCCAAGAGCTAAACTTGTATATATTGTCAGTGCGCTGGCTAGTGTCAGATCTGATTAATGCCTGTACCAATAGTATTAGTATAGTTTTAAACTACACTGTAACTAAAAGGCCATAGAGAGTAAACGGGCCAGGCAGTTTAACAGGTTTACTGGTATTTACACTAAGGCCTGGTCTACATTACCAGGTTAAGTCGAAGTCACTCATGTTATGTCGATTTTTTTCTAATGAATGTTTCTACACCACCAAGCCCCTTCCATCGACCGTAAGGGCTTTTGAAATAGACTGCTGTACTGCACCTTGATGAGCACACCACCACTAAAGTCAGCCTTGGATTGGGACAGTGTAGACATAGGGCTGTTCAATTTGATGTGTTTGGGTTCCAAGAGGTGTGGCAATGTGACCACTCTGGGCCAGTACTTTCCATTCTGCTGCACGTCCAAGTACACACAAAAAGTCCCAGGAACTTCTGAATTTCATTTCCTGTTTGGTCAGCATGGTGAGCCCAGCAACATACCCGCCCATGAGCGCTCAGGATCTCAAACAAGCTCCAGCTTGGAGCACGCAGGAGATACTTGGATCTAATTGCTATGTGAGGGAGAAGAATTTGTGCAGGCAGAACTCTGAACCAGCAGAAGAAATGCTGATAGCTGCACCAAAAACCCACAGAGCATGGAGGAGAAAGGCTACTCCAAGGATACCGTGTAGTGCCACGTACAAATAAAGGAGCTCAGGCAAGCATACAAGGAGGCAAAGAGTTGCTCTGGGGCAAAGCCACAGGCATGCTGCTTCTATGAGCAGCTGCCTGGGATTCTGCAGGGGTGGAAGACCCCAACCAGTATCCCAAAACTATCTCTATCCTCCTAAGGGACTGTTCAGGCAGCCTCCAGCAACAACAAGAAGGGCATTGTACATGGGCAAGAGGAGGAGGAGAATGTGCAACTAGCAAGCAGAGGATCCATTCTCCTTGATAGTCAGCACCTTTTCCTAACGCTGGAGCCAATCCCCTCCCAGGACTTTTTGTTGCCAGACCCTGATGGCAAAGAAAGCACCTCAGGTCAGTTGCACATTTGTTATCATACTGCAGTGGTTAAATGTAATTGTGTTTGATTTTTTGATCTTCCCTGAGCAATTCAGATACAGTGGTGGCCAATCCAGTTACACAGCAGGTGCTCCCCTGAAAAGTTTGTTTATGTGCCTGGAAATGGAGCAGGAATCCTCCCTGCACATCTCTACAACGCTCTCGCTGAGGTACTCTGTAATCTTTCTCAGAATGTTTCTAGGGAGGGCTGCCTTAGTGCTCTATGGTAGGACACCTTCCCACACCAAGACAGCAGTAAGTGATCTGTCATCATTGCAGCTGAAGGCAGAGCAGTAAAAAGTCAAGGTCTCTGCCCAGATACATGCAGCATCTGCTCCCTGTCCTGCTCTCTGACCCTCCGAAGACTGACATTGTGCACAGTTTTCTGGGTGAAATGGGGGAAGTTTTGTGATACTGTTGAGGCAAATCTGCCTCCGTTTGCGGATCCCTCAACAAATTATGACCTCAGGTGTGCTGCCCTGTTTGCAGTTGGCTTGAAGGGATCATCCTGGAGAACAGTCGTGCTGTGCAGGAGGGGAGGGGATCTCATGCTGACTGTACACATCTGTGCCTCTTGACGCCAAACCCGCAGCCCCTCCTCTGAAATGCAAACACTTGAATGAGCAGTCAAGCAACATCCAGGTTGCTTTTCTATGTTTTCAAAGTGGAAGCAAAAGATGTGAGGAAAGGGGAAGTTTGATCTTCAAGGATAACTATTGGCATTTCAACATCACCAACAGTAATTTTTGTGTCTGGGAAGAAAGTTCCATCTTGCAGCTTTCTTCAGTTCCTGAAGAGGCGTGCATCATGCACTTTTCCTGACCATCCCACGGTGATGTCTTGAAATGGCCCTTGTGACCCACCAGTGCTTGCAACACCACTGAGAAGTACTGCTTGTGGTTTACGTATTCTCTGGTAATGGGGTCTGGTGCCAGGATAGAGATATGCATTCTATCTTTTCCCCAAAACACTTCAGGAACCCCATTGCGGCAAAGCCATCCACTGTATCCTGTATGAGTCTCAGAGTCAGTATCCTGCCTAGCCGAAGGGTATTGATTGTCCTGGCTACTTGGATCACAGCAGCCCCCACGCTAGATTTACCCAGTCCAAACTGGTTCCCAACTGATCCATAGTGGTCTGGTGTTGCAGGTTTCCACAGGGAATTCCACAGTTTCCAGCACTCATGTCTCAGCTGCCAGAGCAGTTCTCATTGTGTTATTGGTGCACTTCAGGGCAGGGAAAAGCAATTTGCAAAGTTCTATGAAGGTGGCCTTATGCATGTGCACGTGGAAGTTTTGTAGCCACTGGTCCTCATCTCATCGCTGCGTAACTATGTGGCCCCAATAGTTTGGGTACATCTAAACTACATCCTTTTTTCAGTAAAGGGATGTAAATTAGACACATCAAAAGTGCAAATAAAGCGGGGATTTAAATATCCTGTTCTTCATTTGCATAATAGCGGCAGCCGCTTTTTTTCGAAACGGGGCTTGTCAAAAAAAAACAGCAGTTTAGACGGGGCATTTTCAACAGAAATGCCTCGTTTCAAAAGATCCTGATTGAAAGATCATTTTTTGAGGAGTACAGGATCTTTTCATTTGAAAACTAGCCAATTAGCACATCATAAGACGGGATTTTCAGGTCTCTCCTTCACGTCGGTCTTCTCTCCTGAGCCTCCAATCTCTCTCCTCCTCCTACTGCCTCCCCCACCCTCTCTCTCAGCTCTCCTCCGCCTCCTGCCTCTCTCTTTCTCTTCTCCTCCCCCTCCTGCCTCTCACTTGGGGGACCACGGAGCCCAAACAGCCGTTTGGGCTCTGGACTCCCTGTGCTGCCTGGGGAGCGCGGAGCCCAAATGGTTGCTTGCGCCACTTGCTCTCACGCGGCAGCCTGGCTTAGCGGCGCAGAAGTCAGCCAAACGTCACAACGAGAGGCGAGGGGGGGGCAGGGTGGTGACGTTCACGACCAGGGGGTAGGGCCTGGAGCCGCTGTCACGCCTCAAGTCACCTCCCCGCCCACCTTCCTCTCCCGCTGTGGCGCTCGGCTCACTTCTGCACCGCTCAGCTGGGCCACCGCGGGGGAGCAAGCAGAGTAAGCGGTTGTTTGGGCCTAGCCAGCATTTCAGGCAACACTGCCGCCCAGAGGAAACAGCCAGCATTTCAGGCAACACCGCCACCCAGAGGAAACAGTCAGCATTTCAGGCAACACTGCCGCCCAGAGGAAACAGCCAGCATTTCAGGCAACACCGCCACCCAGAGGAAACAGTCAGCATTTCAGGCAACACTGCCGCCCAGAGGAAACAGCCAGCATTTCAGGCAACACTGCCGCCCAGAGGGAACAGCAAGCATTTCAGGCAACAGACATTGGGCTACTAATATATGATGCCCCGTCTAAACTGTCGTTTTTTTTTCGAAAAGCCCCATTTCGGAAAAAAGCAGCAGCCGCCATTATGCAAATGAAACGCCGGATATTTAAATCCCTGCTTCATTTGCACTTTCTAATTTACAGCCCTCTGCCGACAAGAGGGGTATAGTTTAGACACACTCTTTGTGCTTGTTTCACGGGACCAGAATCAGTGTTCTCTAGGGTCAAAATGCCTGCCTGCTGCCAGAATATGCCAATCACTCCATTCCATGGTTCCCAGCATGTCTGCATAGATGGCCTCCTTACATTTTTCCTTGTGCCAGCAGTTCCTATCTAGGCTCTGGACATGAGGTATTTGCAATGCTTGCCACAGCAGAGTGGCGTCCATACTTGCTGTCCTATGGTGTCTGCTTGAATAACACAGGAAAAAAGGCACAAAATGATTGTTTGCTTTCGATGATGGAGTGAGATAGGAGGTAAGTGCCTCAGGAGATTTGGATGACGTGTACCCAGAACCATACATAACAATGTTTTTGTCCCATTATGCATTGGAAGTCTAACCTAGAATTCAAATGGGAGCAGGAACTGTGGGATGGCTACCCACAATGCATCGCAGTGTGAGTCAATGGTAGCCATGGTAGGAGGGACGCACTCTGCTGACCGAATGTGCACAGTGAGGACATGCACCTTTGACTTTATAAAATTGGTGTTCATGCAAAAGTTTCTTCATAACATGCCTCTGTTAGCCCTGCTTTCTTTTTAATCAAATCTAGTGTGGTGTCTATTATGGCATACACAGATATGGGTAGGGCATAGGGGATATCCCAGAGTACCAACCACACTGTGTGTGTCCATACAAACCATATATGGAGGCAACTGTGACACCGAGATATAAATTAATTTCAAAAGTACAGTACACACAGGCCTCATAAGAGAGCTAGCACTTTTCATGTAAACTGTTTTGTAAATCTAAAAGAGCCCAAACTCTGTGAATCCCAGCACTAACTCCACTTTTATAACAGGACCTTCATTTATCCTATTTTTGTAACACAATGCATAATCATTTGCTTGTAAAAACAAGTTATTTGGTTTTTAGACTTTCACATTTCATCACCTTGTCCATGAGGCCCATGTGATCTTTTCTATTAGCGTTGCATCTACCACTTGCTTTCCCAATGGCACCTCATGAACCTGACGTTTATAGGCACCAGTTGATACCTGAATATAGAAAGAGTAGATTAACCTTTCCATAAATATATTTTGATGTTATTGTAATAGTTAAACATTAAAAGTTTATTTCTCAACAGTTAGTCTCCATATGTAAAATATAGCAATTTATTTATATGTCTAAGCTTTCTATAATTGAGTTATATACAATGTAAAATAATCACAACAAATTTACAGTATGAATAACCTCTCAATCAGATTATTAACTGTATGATCTCACATCTTCTTGACAAAATTGGCAGCATCAAGGACACTCTAAAGAGAAACCTCACATTTGGGTTCATGTAGTTTAGTACTGTTGCCTTTGACAGAAATATGTAAGATACTATATATTATCTACACTACGCTGATTGAGAACAACAGTGGATTGGCAGTATGAGCTGATCATTCAACAGCTTTGAGAACATGAGGGAAACAGATAGGCTACGTCTACACTGGCATGATTTTCCGGAAATGCTTTTAACGGAAAAGGTTTTCCGTTAAAAGTATTTCCGGAAAAGCGTCCTGCCAATCTAGATGCGCTTTTCTGCAAAAAAGCCCCAATCATCATTTTCACGCTCGGGGCTTTTTTGCAGAAAACACTACTGTGCTGTCTACACTGGCCCTTTTCCGGAACAGTTTTCCGGAAAAAGACTTTTGCCCGAACGGGAGCAGCATAGTTTTTCCGGAAAAGCACTGATGATTTTACATTAGATCGTCGGTGCTTTTCCGGAAATTCAAGCGGCCAGTGTAGACAGCTGGCAAGTTTTTCCGGAAAAGTGGCTGATTTTCCGGAATAACTTGCCAGTGTAGACACAGCCATAAGGTACTAAAACTTTGAAACTAACTTTGCATCTAGGTAATAGAGAGCTTTTACTTAACTCCTTGTTGCCAGCAGATCCTCTTGCTATGTGATGATATACATTGCACTATGCTTCATCTGTGAGAGATGGTATCTGAGAGTCATCCGGAGGCTTTATATTGTTAGCTTCCATAATTAAAATTATAGGCCAAAACACTGCTAGCCCCTTGAAATAGTGATGTGCTAGTTAAAACAAAATCCTTACTCCCTAAGTTCCCTAGAAAGAACAAGCCAACCTTGCAGTCCTTGTTAAAGGGTTGCTACTTCTTTTCTGATCCCAAAGGGGCAATGACATTGGTGAAAGACAAGGATTAGCCTGACCCGTCAATTACTGTGGATAGCATAATTGCCCAGCTGTGGGGCAGAGCACATGCTGTGTACATCCTCCTTAAAAAAAAAGTGGCAACAGGTATGCTTCCAAACACACACTTGGGAGCTTCTAGAGATGCTGTGCACAATTCCTCATGCAGCTCCCTGTAGCCCAACATCTCTGATGCTCATCGGTGCCCTAAAAGCATATTTGAGCCCTAAGATTTACAGAGTAATTGTGCATGTACAGCCTGTTTCTATGCACTTTGCAGATCACAACTGCGAAAGAAGGTACCCATTTTTACTGCTCTAGCGCTACTGTGTGTGCCTGTAGTCTAGACCAAGCTTTTGCCTTCATGTGGCCAGGTAGTCTTAGTTACTGTAGTTTTGGATTAAATTTTTATTAAAATTGGGGTGCTAGTTTCTACTCACTTGCATAGAGCTGGGCTTGTGCTTCACCTCGGGACAGCTGACAGATTTAGGGGATGCTTGTGGATGAACAGAGTGCTTTATTTCTGTGCTTTACCGGCCAGACTTTTGTAAGGATTTTTACAAACTTAATTCCTTTCCTTTATAATATTTGATGATAAATTAATGAGTAAAGAAATGCATGCCCCCTAAAACATACCTGAATAAATCTGCTGTCTGCTGAAAAATCCATCTGAATGACAAAACTTGGAATATCTGTGCAGTAGCCTATCCGGTTTAAGGTTGTGCCTTGGGTGAGGTCATAAAAATCAACAGTATGTTCTTGTGAGCCAACAGCCAAAAATCTATTATCAGGGCTGATTCTAGACAAGAAATCATGAAGCAGGAATATAATTTGTGGTACTGGTACATTTGGTAAGATTTTTGTTTGCTTTGATTCACAATTCTTAAGGTATGAAAAGTTCAATCTTTTTAAAGAAAAGACTAACAAATAATAGCAAGTTCTGATGAAACCTCACCATGATTCAAGACAATTGAATCAGAAAGGCACACTGATGCTTAAAGCATATGTAGTCAATAGCTGTTAATATTTCATTAATATAAATTCTTAACACTACACACAAAGTACCATTTATCTCTTGAGGCTAAGATATGGCATTTCTTAGAGCTATGTGGTAAAACTGTAGTGTAACATTGACTTCTGATACTAAAGGCTAATATGCAAAGTAATACGTATTCATGTGGAGTTTACACTCCTAGACTTTAAGGCTAGAAGGAGCCATCGTGATCACCTACTCTGACCTTTTATACATCACAGGCCACAGAACTTCACCCACCCACTCCTGTAGCAGGCCCATAACCTTTAGCTGAATTACTGAAGTCTTCTAATCTAGATTTAAAGACTTCAGTGAAAGAGAATCCATCCTAGTTCAAACAGGAAATGACCCTATGTATGGACTGCAGGTTTAGGAACTACTGTCTTATTTCAACTGAATATACCTGATATCCTGAATAGCTGATTTCCGGTCTCGTTTTTTGCCCCAAACTTTAAGACTGTTTACAAGTAAGATGACAAATTCTCCATTCTTCATGCCAATAGCTACCATCTCACCATCAGGACTGTATGCAGCACATCTTGCAGCATGGCCTAAATTCACTTTATTCAGCATTTTCTGTATAAAAACCCCCCCAAAACCCCAGTGATTTCTTACTAGTTTTTTCTTTATAGAAAACTAAAAAGTAAATAAACTTCTTTTAAGTAAAGCTACCTACAAAAGAAAAGACACTTACTTAAAAAAAATATTGTACAGTTTCCTCAAAATGTCAGACTGAAATTTCACATATTAAGTCACTTCTCACCAGAAACACATTGCGAAATAGATTTGAAAGTAAAGATTTCATGAAAATGGACATTTCAGTGCTTCCAGCCATCTTGCACTGACCTCACTTGTGACATTTATTTAGTTCTAATTTACCCCTAAATGTAAGTAGTGGAAGTGTTGGTAATTCTGCTAGACAATATTGACCTGGTTTGGCAAATTCTCTGGTTCAGCATGGGTCAGATTCTGAGGGTGCAATCTGTATTTTGTTTGCAGACAAGCAGTTTTGAAACACTTTCTACACAGTTGTTGAAGGCACAGTATGCGCCTTCCATGCTGTCAGCTCTGTGCACCAGCCAGTAACAGAGGGTATGTCTATACTACAAAGTTAATTCGAACTAACGAACGTTAGTTTGAATTAACTTTCATAGGCGCTACACTAGCACTCCACTAGTTCGAACTTAATTCGAACTAGCAGAGCGCTTAGTTCGAACTAGGAAAACCTCATTTTACGAGGATTAAGCCTATTTCGAACTAGCTAGTTCGAATTGAGGGGTGTGTAGCCCCTTAATTCGAACTAGTGGGAGGCTAGCCCTCCCCAGGTTTCCCTGGTGGCCACTCTGAACAACACCAGGGAAACTCATCTGCCCCCCTCCCGGCCCCGGACCCCTTAAAAGGGCACGGGCTGGCTACGGTGCCCGTGCCAGGTGCAAGCCTGCCAGTACCCAGAGAGCAGACCCTGCACCTGGCACGGCACGAACCAGCTCCCCGCGGCCACCCAGCCCTCCGCCTCTTCCTGGGACCAGGCTGGCGGGCC